TATATATATATATTATATTATTATATTATAGTAATATATATGATATATGATTTAAATAAAATAAAAGTAGGTGGGTCATGGTGCCACGTGTCGAAAGAAGAGTGAATTTTATTCACTCTTCTTATATAGTATATAGTAATGTTTTAAATTAAATAAAGAAGGCAAAATAAGAAATCTTGGAAAGGTATAAATACTATAGAATTAATGAGGAAAGAGAAAATGTAGTGTGCCTTTTTACTGAAATTGGTAAAAACACAGATTATTTTAGATTAAAAAAAGGGAAAACAAAAAGGCAAAAGAGGAATTTTAGGAAGATATAAATAGTGTAATAATAAGGCGGAATAGCCTAGGAGGCCCCTGTACTTGGTTTCGTTTGTCAGTTGAACCCTTTTACTCATCACTTTGCCAAATGAATCCTTAAATTCGATGAAACTCTATTTTCTAAACCCCTCTAACCATTGACCGAAATTATGTGGCATTAAAATGGCTGAGTTGGATAAGTATGAGACCACACACATTTCAAAGCAAGTGAATGCAATATTTTTATTTAAAAATTATCAAAATTGTAAGACAAAATAATAATAATAAATTAAAAAAGTAAAATTCTCAAAACCCTTCTTCTTCAATCCACTCACACCCCTTCTCTTTTCTTCTGCAGCCTCACCCCATCTTTTTTCTCTTCTCATTTATATATATATTACTTCGAATATATACTAAATATACTACTTAATATATAATATTTTCAAGTATTTGTTTAAGTAAATAATTGTTAACATTATTTTTTCAAGTATTGACTTATTATAGTGACTACAAATTTAATTTCAATATTAAATAATTAAAATTATTTAATTGAAGAAATAGTAATTTTATAAAAAATAATAATAATTAAGAAATGCAAAGACTCCATGAGCCTTTGACTTTATTAATATATTGATAAAATTCAAAACATACAAAGTTACAAAATTACAACTATTTGTGTCTAATAAATTGTAAAATGTAAATTCTACCTATTTCGAATCATTTTTTCCAATTCATATGTATTAACATTAACATGAATTGGCTCATAATTTTCAAAATCAACTAATCTGTAATTTGGACTTGCTTGTGCTGAAGGATCCTCAATTGACATTATTTCTTCAAGTTCTTCTTCTTCTTCTCCCGTATTTTGTGTTTTTCCTTTGTTTCTTCGCTCTGATATAATCCAATCTCTGAGGCAAACTAAAACATTCATGGAATTGCTTCCCAATGAATGACGATTATCTCCGATCTGTTGTCTTCCTTGACTAAATGCGCTCTCTCATGCAACAGTTGACATTGGAACACTTAGCACATCCCTCACCAAGGTGGAAAGTACTGGAAATTGTTTTTGGTTTTTCTTCCACCAATTCAGTGTGCTAATATTATTTTGATAGTTCTCTGGAGCTTGTCTCAAATAATAAGTAAGCTCGTCCCGATTTATGCTACTTTGAGATGTAGGTTGTATTCTATTCCAAATAGATAAATTAGTAACACAATGGGCAGACATACCATGTGCCTGTCTTTTAGAAGATGATGACTTGTTTGAAGGATGAGATAGAGGAACAGTATGGTGTAGCATTATCAAGTAAAGTGACATAATGATTAGATAAGGATTGGATATGATTATTTGTATCACCCATAGACTTAAACATACTAGGTTCCTCATCAATTTGAATATCTATATCTAATACGAACAAATTCAGACATAGTAGCAAATTTCTTACACGAATTTAACATAGCACAACCCAAATAAATAGGAGAAATAGGAAAAAAATATTTTTAAAAATTTTCAATCATTTCAGTAATAGCCGTTGTATAATCTTCTTTAAGTTTATATTCACTAAGCAATATAGCAAGGTCGACTACATAAGCTAAAATACTACAAACGGTAGGATAATAAGCACCGAAAAATACAGCAGTATCGGCATAATTTTTTTCTTAAAAACAACAACATCATTAATTTTAACCCAATCAGATTCTTGCAACATGACTTCAGGAAATTATATGCATATTGGTTAAAAGTTGTAGTTATAGGCACTCTATAAATGTAGCAAGTTTGTAAAAACCATATGTAGAACTCCACCTAGTTTCTATTTCTTCGGACATTAATCTTGCTCTAAGATTATTTTCCTCACATTTTCTTTTAAATTCTTTAAGTCTAACATTTCTATTGTTCTTATATACCATAATTTTCTTGTAACTCACGTTGATTCATATCGTGTGCACCTACACTTATTTCTCCAATTTCCCTAGGTGGTGCGTTAGGCATACGAGCACAAAATTTACTTGTACAACCTCTACTGGAAATATTTTTTTCTTACTACTACCTCAGGGACACAAATTTTTAAGATTTCTACCTACTTTTTTTTATTGTTTCCATTATACAAATTATAAACACAAAAAATAATATGATTAAATATTCTAGAATTTAATATACTAAATAAAAGCAAGAGAAGAAACGGATATACCAAATTGCCGGAATCCAAAATTAAAGAAAGAACCGTAAAATTGATGAAATGTTGAACACTTGAAAGTTGAAAACTTCCACTTGATATTGTTAATTACAAAATATAATATAAAATTGTTATCACAAAAGAGAATTGAGGAATTGAGAATTTGAGAGAGAATTAGAAGATTTGATGTACGAAAAATAAAGAAATGTGTTGGTATTTATAGAAAAATAAAATTGTGTATTAAAATATATATTTTAAAAAAAAAATCCATTTGGCCACTTTTTCAAAAAGTGGCCCAACGGATATAACCCAATAAAAGTTTTTTTTTTTTTTTTTAAATTACTTACCGGGTCGGTGCACTGGTAGGCAGCGTACTGGTCCCTTACCGAGTTTTGGACTGAGCCGGGGTCAAATATCAAGTTAGAATTAGAGGTCAAATTTCGGGTCGAGTCTGGGTTGGGTCTTGGGTCAGGGTTAGGTCTGGAATCGGGTGTCGGGGTCGGGGTCGAGATCAAGGACGAGTCTCAAGTCAGGTGTCAAGGTTTGGTCTGGTGGTCGGGTATTGGGATTGGGTTGATCGAATTGGGTGTCGAGGTCGGGTCTCGGGTCAAGTCTCGACTCAAAGTCGGGGTCGAGTCTCGGGATGGGGTCAGGTTTCGAGTCAGGTGTTAGAATCGGAGTCAGGTCTCAGATAAAGGTAAAGTCTCGGATCGCATCTCGAGTTGAGGTCTGGTTCAAGTCTAGGATCGATTGTTTGAATCAAGGTTGGGCTTTTGTCGAGTAAGGGTCAGGGTTGGGATCGGGTCTCGGATCGGGGTCGGGACCGGGTCGGGGTTGGGTCTCGAGTCTTGGGTTGGGGTCGGGGTTAAGTCTTGCGGTTAGGGTCAATCTCTAATCAAGTGTCGGGGTCGGGGTCGGGTCTTAGGTATCGTATTGGGGTCAAGGTTGGGGTCGAGATCAAGTTTTGAGGTCAGGCGTCAGGGAATTCAACTCCAGTTGAGAAGCACCTCCTTTCTCTGTGGATTCCCTTACTGCTGCTCCCAATTTTTCTGCTCTTTTCCTAATGTCGTCGCCTTCTTCTGATGCCATTAACTTCCTCACGACATTCTCAATGGCAGATGCAGTGACAAGCTCATCGCGTTTCTCCCACTCCCTAATAACCTGCAAGCCTATTTTCCAAAGGATTTGAGGAAAGAGTGCAGAGGGTTGGGCAGCACAAACAGATATCTCTTCGTCCACAGGCGGATGTGGTTGCCAGTAGCCCCTTGGCATATGGGGTTTGACCAACCAAAAAATGGTTTCTTGGTGACAGATGGAAATAGGCCTGATAGTTTGAGAGTGAGAAAAATGCATCCACCATTGAGAATGTTGTGAGCAAGTTAATGGCATCAAAAGAAGGCGATATCATTAGGAAAAGGGCAGAAGAACTAGGAGAGACCGTAAGGTAATCCATAGAGAATGGGGGTTCTTACCGAATGGAGTTGGATTCTGTTAAAAAATGACAAAAGTCCCACATTAGTGGTTAATGAGATGGGTGGACTCCTTATAAGGTTTGGGCAATCCTCCTTCCTTTGAACTAGCTTTTGGGGGTGACTTAGGCCTAAAACCTAATTTAACAGATTCTGTCATGGCACATATCACAAGTTCAATTTGTTCGTTCATCCATATTGGTTATATACCTGATACTTTTTCTCAACTTCTGCTGTGTTGCAGAGCTTTTTTTACTTTTTAGTGTGTTGAAGTAAGACAACAGCAAGAAACAGACATCAGTTAAATATCACTAACTCATCTATCTTGTAATATGAGCAATGAAAAAATCAAGGTGTTGAAACTAAGTGAAATATTAGGACCTTTTTCATAGTTGAAACTAAGTGAATTATTGAAAGTTCAAGAGAATTATTGGCTCTTTACATTTTCTAGGAGAATAGTTTGAAGATAATCAAAAGGTAACTTCCTCGCAACATTCTCGATGGTTGGATGCATTCACTACCATCTCCTGTTTCTTCCACTCCATAACAAGCAGACCTATTTTCAACATTTCTGAAACCAAGGAACAATTTTTTGGTTGGTTGGTAAAAGTGCATAGGCTTTTGTCTTGCAACCATGTTCATCTTATGCAGTTGTAGAGAACAAAAGAAATGATATCCAACCTTTTCATGTAGATGGTACATCAAAATCATATAGTCATTTGAGAGTTTACAAAATAATCTCATGTTGGACATATGGATTAATAAGAAAAGATTATGATAAAAGTTTTCATGCATGACTCAACACATACTTTTATTTAATCTGCATAAACAACATCCAATAATTCAAAAATAATAGTACAATAATTAGTAGTTACAAAACTAAAAGATATGTGAAAGAGATGGATTTGCTACTCACTCCTCCTCTTAACTTCACACATTTGCTATATAACCCTGCTTCTTCCACGAGAAAAAACTCAATCAGGACACATGGAGGATCCGATAGAAACACGAAACTCCAATCTTTCTACTTCCATGTGTAGCTATGAGAATTTACCAAACCATGAACTTGATCATGAAGTAGTTATAATCGTCAAGCTTTGCTTCGAGCCAATGCTTTAAATCCTTTAGACATAGCAAAAATCCACTTCCATGGCCATTCCACTTCCTGAATTTGCCTCACCTCCACCTGACTTTAATGCCTTGAGCAAATTCCCATTACATCATCAGCCATTATGGGATGCATCTTTGCTTCTTCGCAAGTCCATTGCTTCCTTTTTACGTGACATCTCCTCAAAATCGAGACGAGTCATTGTTGTTCATGATTCTTTTATGTCATACATTGTTCAAGATGTTTCTTCCTTTCCCAATGCTGAATCATAAATATTTAATTGCATTTCATTTTTCACTTTGTACTGTTCTTTATGCTTATTTAGTGGAAAGTCTATCCAACTTGGAGAAGAATTGCTTAAAAAGCTACCGCCCCTTGAAGGAGCGCTGCCTGATTAAGTCCAGAACTTTATGGATTTTCAGAGTCCATAGATGGATATTAAATCAGGTGATACTCATAATACAAGTAAAGTAATTGAAGGTGAGTTTCTTGATTTGCTGGCACAAGTAGAAAGTAAACAACAGTGGGCAATTGGACCAATTCTGCCTACTAAATTCGATAATATCTCGAATAGCAACAATACATGTTTGGAATGGCTGAACAAACAACCTCCGAGATCAGTTCTTTATATATCATTTGGAACATCAACTACATTTTCCGATAGAGAATTCATGGAGCTCGCGATGGGACTTGAACAAAGCAAACAGAAGTTCATATGGGTGTTGAGAGAAGCCGATAGAGGAGATGCCTTTACCGGGGAAGCTAGAAGATTTGAGCTTCCAGAGGGGTTTGAGGAAAGGGTAAAAGAAATAGGCCTAGTGGTAAGAGAATGGGCACCACAACCCGAAATCTTGGCTCATTCTTCCACAGGCGGGTTCATGAGTCATTGTGGATGGAATTCTTGCATAGAGAGTATTACCATGGGTGTACCTATAGCTGCTTGACCAACCGAGAAATGCTGAAAATAGGTCTGACTGTAAGGGAGTGGGAGAAATGCGAGGAGCTAGTAAGTGCATCCACTATTGAGAAAGTCGTTAGGAAGTTGATGGCATCAGAAGAAGGTGACGAGATTAGGTAAAGAGCAGAAGAATTGGGAGAAGCCGTTAGGCATTCCACAGAGAAGGGGGGTTCTTCTCGAATAGAGCTGGATTCTTTTATCGCGCATATCACAAGATAGACTTGCTTTTCAACAGAAATTTCAAGTTTATCTGTCACTTGTCTGGCTTCTATGGCTATCGGTGAGTTATTTCTTTGTATTTCTCTCTTAATGGTCCTGTTTACATTTCTCAGTTGGTATGTACCAGAGTTATAATCAAGAACCACATATGATGAATTAAGGTTACTCCATAAGACGAACAACGTATGTTTTCGATTATTCAGTAGTAGTAGAGAATTACAGAACAAAATTTTTTAGTTGTGAAAAGCAAGTCTATCTAGTAATATGAGCAATGAAAGAATGTAACTCCATTTGAGAAGCACCTCCTTTCTCTATGGACTCCCTTACTGCTGCTCCCAATTCTTCTGCTCTTTACCTAATCTCGTCACCTTCTTCTGATGCCATTAACTTCCTCACAACATTCTCAATGGCGGATGCAGTGACAAGCTCCTCGTGTTTCTTCCACTCCCTAACGAGAAGGCCTGTTTTCAAGATTTCTGCCACAAAGAAAGCATTAAGTGGCTGTTCAGAATGCATAGCCCAAGCAGCCATTCGGTACCCCCGCAGTAATACACTCTATGCAAGAATTCCATCCGCAATGACTCATGAACCCCCCTGTGGAAGAATGAGCCAAGATTTCAAGCTGTGGCGCCCATTCTCTGACCACTAACCCGACACCTTCTACTCTTTCTTCAAACCCGTCTGGCAACTCAAATCTTCTAGCTTCCTCACTAAAGATATTACCTCTATCACCATCTCTCAACACCCATACAAACTTCTGTTTGCTTCGCTCTAGTCCCATCGCGAGCTCCATCACTTCTTTATCAGAAAATGTAGTTGATGATCCAAAAAGATAACATAAAGAACTGATCTTGGAGGTTGGTTATCAAGCCAATCTAAACATTTAATTTCTCTTATCTGATACATGATCACTTTAGCAGCCAGAAATATCGGTCCGATTGCCCATTGCTTCTTGTTTTGTGTACTTGCAAATTTTTCCATCAGATCAAGAGAAGTACCTGTTGGAATTGAAATAATCAGACATTTAAGCTAATAATTGCAAACTATAACAAAGAAAGCTATTCTAAAAAGCATAATATTTTGATATAATTAGGCAAAGTGGCCTACATAATCAAGTACAAGAAACAACAGATAGTAACATAAATCAAAG